GACTCTCCCCTGCCCAGCCACGAGCTGGGTGGGGGAGGGGAGAAGCCATGTGGCCTTCGGAGGTAGGCCCAAGGGTGGAGGGACTGGAACCCGGGTTGGCCCCCTGCAGATGGAAGGGTGGAGAAATCTGGGATGTCTCCGTTCCCCCCCAGAGTCTCTCTCTCCCAAGAGAGAAAAAGAGACGGCGGTGGTTTTTATCAGCAGTTCACCGCGGGGAAGGAGAAGAGAAGGGGGGCCGCAAGGTGCCCAGCCGCCTGTGGGAGCTGGAGCCTGGGCAGCGAGCCATCTCTGGGAGTCGGGACTTTTAACCCTTCCTGAGAAATGAAAGCTTTGTGAAATTTTTCTCCTCCTTGGTTTGAAAAGAGAGGAAGAGAGACAGCCTGGGATCTGGGATGTTGGAAGGAGAAATTCTAGGTGGGAGGAGATGATGGAGTGGCTGTTTGGCTGGACTTTTTCTTGGTAGCCACAGATTGAACTGATCTTCTCCTCCAAGAGAGACTGTATTTTAGGAGGATGCTGGTGAGCCAAGAGACCTGCTTCAGCTGGGAAAAGACAGAAGTGGAGCGAACAGTGAAAAGTTAAAGAGGTTTGTGGTGGTGCCCCCTGTCTTCAGTGAGGAAGAAGAGAAGAAGAGCTCTGTTCGTGGATCCTCGGCCCCAGGGGAAAATGGGGGGGACTGTTGGTCCCAAAAATGAAAAACTGAACTGTTGTTTTTTCCCCTCTTGGCAGGGCATCCTTGAAAGGAAAAAAAAATCCTAAAAGCAGTCTGTCCATCCATGCATTGGTGGTGAGAGCACCGTGTATGGAAAGGAGAGGGTCACCACTGGCAAACTTTTTCTCCGGGCGGTGCCATGTGGTGACATGGAAGCACAGGATGTGGCAGCTCTTTTTCTTGGGGGGTCTGTGGCACAAGAGAGACTCCTCTCTCCCTGCAGATGGACTGGGTGTTGATTATCTGGAGGGTGGAAACCTGATTGGGGTCCAGATTGTCTCTCACTGTAGACTGTTGGAGTTGGGTGGTGGGAGGAGGAATGCTTTGGAAGGTTTTCATTTTGAATTGTGTGTGTTTCTTTCTTCTTCCCCCCCCCCCCCTTTTAGTAGCATAGTGGTAGAAGTTTAATAAAGTTTTTTTCTTGTTATTAAGCTTGGGCCTGCTTTGCTCTGCTCTCAATCGCATTTCACAGCATTCAGTTGAGAAATTGCATTTTCATGGGGGGCACTGGCATTGTGCCAGTGTCAAACCATGACAGGGGGAATTGTGAGAAACTACAGATTGAGATATTGTTTATTAAGATATATGTAAAGGTTAGACAATTGTGAGAAACTACAGATTGGGATATTGTTTATTAAGATATATGTAAAAGTTAGACAACTGTGAGAAAAATACAGACTGAGGTATTGTCTATTGAGATAAGGTTAGACCACGGAGGTATGCAAACAGCAAACGGACACAGCTGATGCAAGATAAGATAACAAGCACTTCAACCGGAGACTGAAGATAACGATCACGACAACCATTCACACTAGGGACTGCTTAAACAAACACAAGATAACGGCAGGAATTGGCTTGAAAATTCCAGGGAGACAAAAGAAGAAATAGGAATAAAAGGAGACAGTTTGAGCGAATCGGGAGTAGCAGCCGGAGCTTCGGGTTTTTGGAAGTATTCGGTCTGCTACCCAGCGCGCTGTTACCTCTGTTCATATCCTACTTGCTGTAAATTAATAAAATTCTTAATTGGATTATGTTCCGTTGTGGCGCAAATTTATAACAGGGACCCCCGGCCCTTGGCCAGTCACTTGATGCCCTTCGTGGAATGTTGCCATGCGTGGCCAGATCTGGGCAGGCACCGGCGGAGGAGGGGGAGAGGCGGTGCCGCTTTCCCCTTAAGCTCTGCGAGTTCAGCTTCAGCGCGGGTACAGACGAATGGTGACACGGGGCTTGGGTGCATGCACGTGTTTATTGTGGGTGCGTGTTCCTGAGACACCGGGGCCACCGGCGGGGTATCGGATATAACCCCCGAACTGGGGGAGGGGGGGAGGGAAAGGGAACCGCGGCCAATAAGGATAGGGTGGGGGCGGGGAAAACCCGGAGACCCCGGGGACGGGGGCGGTGATGGGAAAGGCGGGGGAGTTGGTGGGAGCCGACCGCGTGGCGAGGGGGAGGGGTAGGGGAACGTGGGATCGCAGGACAAAGGGGAACGCGCGGGGAGGGGGAAGGGGAAGGCATGGGAGGGGAAAGAAAAATTACAATTCCCCACAGTGGAAGCTTCTAGAGAGAGGGGCTGGAGAGTCGAGTGACAGACAAGGTGCCAGGGAGGGGGTATGGGGATTGACAAGGAAATTTCTAGTGATTTGGGAGGAGTGGGGATGGGATTGATATTTAGGGAACGGGAAACAACTTGGGATTGTGAAAAATGCCAATCACTTAGTTTTTAAAATTTTAAAAGTTTAATAATAATAAAATGGTTATAAAAATAATAATACAATTAGAGTAATAAAGTTTAGAGTTAGGACAATTACAAGACAATAAAAAGCAAAGAATTACATACGTCCGGATGCTCTCCGACACTAAGTCACGAAAAGCATCCCCTGTGAACAAAGGAATCACCCTTAAAACAATACACTTGTTGTATATTCATACACCTTCATGGTTATGCATACATTCTATTCTAAACAAGAAACAATGTCTGTTGTATGTCAACTGTTTCCTTTAATCCCCTGGCATCTTCGAGTCTGAGCAAGGCCTGAGGAAATTAGTTTCTTCTGATAAGAAGCCATAAATTCCTTTCCTTTGGAAGATTTAGGTGTTCCTTGAAGTGAGTATCTCATCCTAAAAAAAGAAACCACCCCCCCCCACACATACAGAGTCTCTCTATATATATTTTAACTACAAAAGCACAACTAATCAATATAACATAATACATATAGTAACTATCTGTGTAGAGCCATATACTATGCATTTTTCACAGGATGAAACCATAAATGAGGGAAAAACAGGGACAAACCAAATAACACAATACAACTGTTCCCTAAATCAAAACTGGGCCGGATTGAGGTGTTTATCTGTAATTAGTTCCAGGTTATCTTTATTTATCAAAATTTCTTCATATTTTAGCACTTGAGAATCAGTAAGCCACTTCTCAACTTTCTGGTTCAGAATATTTCTAACTACATGTGGGGTGTGCTCTTTTTATTTCTCTCCAAAAGTCAATTTTCTACTTTCTTCTACTAAGAGGACAGTGGAGGCTGCTGCCTGGATACTGGTTGGCCACCCTCTACTAACAGGGTCTAACACTTTTGACAGATAAGCTACTGGTCTCTTGAATCCCCCTCAGTCTTGGGCTAGGACTCCATGGGCTACCTCATTTTTCACATCTACAAATAGGTAAAAAGACTTATCTAGTGCAGGAAGACTTAAAGCAGCGGCTCTTATTAATTTTTGTTTTAAACTTTCAAATCTCTCCTCATCTTCTTTTTCCCATGTAATATCTTCTTTTACTAGTTTTTCATACAGGAATTTAACACCTTGGGTCTATCCTTCAATCCATATTATACAATATCCTAACAACCCAAATATTTTTCTGATTTCCTTTTTAGTTTTTGGTTGGGGGCGGGGAGGTTATTCCTGCGATCCTTTCAGGATTTAATCACCAGCTCCCCTGGCTTATCATATGCGCTAAGTATTTTAATTAATTCTCTACAAATTGGAGCTTTTCTTTTGATTCCTGAAGCTCCTGGTTCTCTAAAAAGTTTAGTAATGGTATGGTGGATTCTTGGACCTTTTCCTCATCCTCCCCTGAGAGAAGTAAGTCATCTATGGAGACCCTGGGGGGGCATTTCCCTGGTCTAGGAAGACACAAGAAGCTTCCCTCAAAAAGCTGTTAGACCCCATTTGCTCCTTTCCCTCTTCCGATGTCCCTGAGCCACTCCCTCCCTATTCCCTGATTGGCCCTCATCTTTGTAGTTCACACACCCACACCCACACCCACACCCACACCCACACACCCCACACACACCCCCCCCCCTCCCGACCCCTCTGTGCAGAGTATTGGGAGCTGGGACCATGTGTGTGCTGGGGGAACTCTGAACATCTCACCGCACAGCTGAATTAAACATCTGTGGATACCATGCAAAGGCCCTTTCTGCTTCTTTACCCTGGACTTTACTAGCAGCAGTTCAGGCTGCTACAGTGATCAGTATATTGGATAAGTTTTACCGCTGGTATTATGGGGAAACATTGCAGTACTCCTTCTAAGGCTTGTCCGAATAAATTAGGGGATTCAGTAAATCCTTGGGTGTTGGAACTCAAAATGTCCCTCAGACATTTTTGGAGGTTACAGGCCCTGGTCAGAAGCATTTGAGACCCTGGCAAGCAGCTGAAAACAGCTGTGATTTTGAGTTTGAGCCATGGAATGAGTTACCAACTTTGAAGGTGGAACAAGCGGTCACAGAGGGTTAGATGGTATAGTAAAAGTAGTTACAAATCAGAGGGTGTTATAAATTTGCGCCACAACGGAACATAATCCAATTAAGAATTTTATTAATTTACAGCAAGTAGGATATGAACAAAGGTAACAGCGCTGGGGAAACAAATCCAAAAACTTCCAAAAATTCGAAGCTTTGGTTGTTCCGCCGATTTCACTCCAACTGTCTCCTTTTATTCCTATTTCTTCTTTTGTCTCCCTGGAATTTGCAAGTCAATTCCTGTCGTTATCTTGTGTTTGTTTAAGCAGTCCCCTAGTGTGAATGGTTGTTGTGGTCTTTATCTTCAGTCTCCGGTTGAAGTGCTTGTTATCTTATCTAGTATCAGCTGTGTCCGTTTGGTGTTTGCATACCTCCGTGGTCTAACTTTATCTCAATACCTCAGTCTGTATTTTTCTTCTCACAGTTGTCTAACTTTTACATATATCTTAATAAACAATATCCCACTCTGTAGTTTCTCACAATTGTCTAACCTTTACATATATCTTAATAAACACTATCCCAATCTGTAGTTTCTCACAATTGTCTAACCTTTATATATATCTTAATAAACACTATCCCAATCTGTAGTTTCTCACAATTGTCTAACCTTTACGTATATCTTAATAAACAATATCTCAATCTGTAGTTTCTCACAATTTCCCCCCTTCTTCTCTTTATACTATTATTGTTTATTAGACGTTGCTTTCATTCTCGGCACTGTAAATAAACCTTTTTCCACAATCCCAACATTTATCATTACACTCACATGGTAATACTTCACAATTACAATAGGCATAGCCCCCTCGTGGTATAACACATTCGCAACAATCTTCCTTCTCATTAATAGATGCATTTTTATATTTTTCCCCCGACCTCGTAGTTAAAATTAGCAGTTTAGCTATGTCAAATCGTTTTTTAATATCGTGTACTATACAGCGTAATATACAAGGCCCGAATATAAGTCCCAGAATCAATATAATAAGCGGTCCTGCTAAGGCAGACAGCAAGGTGGTTAGCCAAGGTGAAACATTAAACCAATTTTCATACCATGTCCTACCCGCCTCCCGATCCTTTCTACGTTGATTTAACCTTTTTCGGAGTTCAGACATAGTGTCCTGAACTACTCCCGTATGGTCAGCAAAAGAGCAGCATTCTTCATTTATCGCTACGCATAACCCCCCCTCTTTTAGGAATAATAAATCTAACCCTCTTCTATTTTGCAGCACTACTTCCGATAAAGACTTTACTGAAGTGGCTAAATTTTGGATAGATTGTTCTATTTTTGCTAAATCTTCATCTACAGCCGTCTGTAAACTTTGTAATTCCTGACTTTTTACTAGGGAGGCTATGCCTGTACCTGCTCCGACTCCCCCCGCTATTAGCAGTGTAGCTAAGGTTACCACTGTAATTGGTTCTCGTTTTTGTATATTCAGGTCTCCTTCAAAGTGGCGTAACACTTCCTCAGAAGTGTGATAGATTAGACGAGGAACAATTATCACCTGTACGCAGAACTGAGATTGGTCAAACAGATTTAGGGATAGGCAAGGCGTTACTCCGATGTCTGAACAAACCCATTTAGCTCCTGGTGTCGGGATAGCCCATTTGTCTTTTCTATTCTTGTGTTTATTTATGGTTTTTGTAGTGATTATTGTCGTTTGGTTGCACAAAGGCTGATAATTTTTGGGCACTGTACCAATACATTTTCCTTGACCTGTTACTAATTGAATAGTAATTCCCTGCGTATGGTTTTTTTGGTCATTCCATGGGCATTCTCGTGGGTTTGAACCTCTGGACCATTGAATCTTATCTGATTTTCCAATCGCCTCAAAATATGGTGGTCTAACATTATAACATAACCAGCATTCCTTGGTTAAATTTGGTTTGCTTTCATTAAGGGCACGATAAGAGGCTTGCATTAAATCCCATAAAGGGTCTTTGGGTTTCAGCACACCTGAATCCCTACCAATCACCACGTCATTAGCTGTTCTATTTGTTATCGATAAGGGGTTTGGACAAGTGGTTGTAACACTTGCGGGGACTATCTTTTTCGTCGGGGAAATGGGTGAATTCAATACTTTATTCGGCCCAACAGGGAGTGGATCATGTGGTATTTTAACTTTTCTTATGAGAAAATGCCCTCCCCCGTCTTTAGGAATTCCTCCATAGACACGTATTCCCCATGTTAGTCCTACTAACCACTTGTCTCCTAAGGGCTGTATTACTTGAAATTTGATGCGGGTACAGACTTCCCTGTCTCGTGAAGCCACATAACCCATGTCCCGCAGACCTGTAAGATCTACACCTGTTTGCTCAGGTACACATCCATTAGGAGTCCAGGTTGCTTTTATATATTTATCAGGGGCCTTTACTGACCAGCCCGAGGCTATTGTTTCACATCCCCAATAGCCACAATAATAATGTCCGGGATAATTACAGTAAGACGGTCCAGAAGCCGGGCATATATAAAATGGAGGTCCCTTTCCACAATGTATTGGTACTAAATCACAAAGTTTTACTATGAACTCTGGTGGACCTATGTCGCTAAAAGTGGCTATTGTTCTCGTTCCTTCCCAAGATATTAGTTCCCACTTGAATGGTTCATGTGGGTTTCCCCCTTCTGCCAGGGTTATTATCAATATGAAGACTAACGGTATACCAGGAAAAAGGGTGTCTGTCAATTTTACCAATTTATGTAAATTTTTACCAATCCCGGGGAAGCTCTGTTGTTCCTGCTTTTGCATCCCATTGTTCTGATTTTTTTCTCCACAGTCTGTTCCTCTTCTGCCTCGCCCGTCGACTCGGCTGCTCCGAGTCACGGGGTGCATCATCTTCTCGGCAGCAAGGGAATTCTTCAGGAGAACAGCTGTTTCGGGATTTCTGCCTGTTTACATAGGCTTCCCACTTTGCAGCTTGAACTAATGGGGCAAAGCAAGACACAGTTAGTACTTCCCTTCTACACTTTATAACCAAGATTTCAGCCACAAAGAGGACAGGTTCATTGGAATGGTAATAATAATATTGAGGGTATCCACATTCACAGCGTGTCCACCATTTATCCCGGCATACCTTATGCCTAAAACAAGCAAATGGAAAACAATTGTAGTTTAAATCATTACAACTAATTCGTATAACTAGAGTACATACATTATTTACATCAGCATATCTTTCATATTCACTATTGTGTGACTACATATGCTTAACAATTTCCTTCAGCACACGTTGTACGCTTCCATACATAATAGATAAAAAAGGAAATAACGATAGCAAATATAAACAGCAATACACACTTTATACCAAAAGGTAATGCAGCAAAAAAATCAAATAAAGTCTTTATCATTTCGTTATCTTTTTAGAGTTATCTTGGTGTCACCTGGAGTACTGATTACTTTCCAGTGGGGTCTCGTCACTGGGCCTTTAATGCGGCTGGCATGAGTCCATCCACGCTCAGCAGTCCGGACAGCTGTTTCTGTTGTCAACAAAACGAGATAAGGTCCCTCCCAATTGGGTTTTAGGGTTTCTTCCTTCCACACTTTAATCAATATCCAATCCCCAGGTTTAACTTTGTGTATTTTTAAGTCCAACGGGGGTCGTTGCACAATCAGTCCATGTTCCCAAAGCTGGTTACGATGTTCTGCTAATTGTGAAACATATTCATTAATCACACGGTCTCTAATTAAAACATTTGTTTGTGGGCTTTCAATTCTGTAGGACATTCCATACACCATTTCAAACGCTGATATTCCTACATCTGCTCGGGGTCTGGTTCTGAGAATTAATAGTGCCATAGGTAGGCATTTAATCCATGATAATTTGGTTTCTATCATTAGTTTAGTCAAAATAGTTTTAATTTCTCCATTCATCCTTTCAACTTTTCCTGAACTTTGTGGATGCCATGGTGTATGGTATTCCCACTTGATACCCAAGCTTTCTGTTAGATCTTTAACAATTTTTGACACAAAATGCGTTCCTCTGTCCGAGTCAATTACTTCAGGTACTCCATATCGAGGTATAACATGTTCTAGTAACACTTTAGTGACTTGGTTAGCGGTTGCCCTGGAGGTAGGAAAAGCCTCGACATAATGTGTTAAGTGATCCACCATTACTAATAAATATTTGTAACGCCCTACCCTAGGTAGTTCAGTAAAATCTACTTGTATATGTGAGAAAGGTCTGTATGCTGGGGAACGTCCCCCAAGAGGTCTCTGTTTTATGTTTTTTCGATTAACCTTCTGACAGGTCTCGCAGGCTGCCGTGACTGTCTTTGCTATATTATATACACCTATACAGGCATACTGTTGATTGAAATGATCAACTAATGCCTGAGTTCCCCAGTGTGTTTTGCTGTGTATTTTTGAAAATATTTCAATTGCTATGCCCTTCGGCAAGACTTCTCTCCCATCTGGCAATATGTATTTCCCATCCTGTTCTTTAGCTCCCATTTGTTCTAGTTTTTCTTTTTCTGCAGACTCAAAACTCAAATTTTTACTAACTGGTGCTTGTTGCATAGTCAGAATTATATTATAATTGCCTGCCACTCGTTTTGCTTCTGTATCAGCTGCATTATTTCCCCTAACCTGATAACTTGTACCTCGCTGGTGTCCCTTTATATGTACAACTGCTATTTTATTTGGCATTTTCAATGCCCCCAGAACTCGACGAATTAATTCCTGGTGTACCAGCTCTTTTCCCTGTGAGTTAATGAATCCTCTTTCCTCCCATATTTTCCCAAAAGTGTGTACTACTCCAAACGCATAACGTGAGTCTGTATATATAGTTCCATCCTTTCCCTTCAGCGACACTAATGCTTTCCACAATGCATATAGCTCACAAGCTTGTGCTGACCAGCTGGCACTCAGGGGGCCTGATTCCCTTATCTTAAATTCTCCTTTTTCCCACTTAACAATGGCATATCCAGACAACCGTTTACCTTCCACTATTCGTGATGACCCATCTATAAATAATACTTCTCCACTTTGTAGTTCTTCTTCCTCTAAGTCTGACCTAATGCGTGTTTGTTGTTCAATTGTTTGAAAACAATTGTGCAATAGTTCATTACCTTCTCCTGGGTACAAAAATTCAGCGGGGTTAACTGCTCCAATAGTTTTTAAAGATAGTTTAGGGGATTCTATAAGTATTCCCTCATACTTTAGTAATCGGCTATCTGTAAGCCATTTCTCTGCCTTTTGTTGCAGCACTCCCCTGATGTTATGAGGCGCATATAAGATAACTTCTCCATTAAAAGTAATGCGATTTGTTTCTTCAAGTAACAGAGCAGCGGCAACAATGATTTGTAAACAGCTTGGCCAACCCCTGCTTACAGGGTCTAACAGCTTTGATAGGTATGCCACCGGTTTCCTTTGTCCGGCCCATTCCTGAGTTAACACTCCGAATGCCGTTCCTTCGTGTATGTTAACAAATAAATGGAAGGGCCTTTTTAAATCTGGGAGGCTTAAAACTGGTGCTTGACTTAGCTCCCTTTTGAGGCTAGCAAACTGCTCTTGATCCTGAGGAGTCCACTTGGGTATTTTTCCTTTAGGCAATTGTTCATATAAGAATTTAACTTTAGAGCTGTAGTTCTCTATCCATTGCCTACAATACCCAAATAGTCCTAATACCTGCCTAATTTGCCTCTTAGTGACAGGCATAGGTAATTCCAGAATTCCTTTAATGCGCTCTGGGTCTAATATTTTCTGGCCGTTAAACAGATAATGTCCCAGATATTTCACTTTTTCCTCCACAAATTGTAACTTTTCTTGTGATACCCGTAGTCCCTTTTGTGCAAGAAAGTTTAGAAGTCGAATGGTTTCTTTCTTTACATTCTCCTTATTATTCCCCGCTATGAGCAGATCATCTACATATTGTAACAGCACATTCCCCGTTTGTATCTGATATTCTGTTAAGAGTTCTTCTAGGGCCTGTCCAAACAGATTAGGGGATTCAGTGAACCCTTGGGGGAGCACGGTCCATCTTAATTGCTGTCTCCGGCCCGTCTCTATGTCTTCCCATTCAAAGGCAAAGTAATTACGGCATTCTTCTGCCAGCGGACAGGCCCAAAAGGCATCCTTTAAATCAATTACACTATACCAGGAATTATGTGGTCCTAGTTTGCTTAGCAATGTATATGGATTTGCTACTACAGGGAACCGGGTGACAGTTCTTTTGTTTATTTCCCTTAGATCATGTACGAGCCGATATTTCCCATTAGGTTTTTTTACAGGCAAAATGGGGGTGTTAAAAGGTGACATACAAGGCTCTAAGATTCCTTGTGCCAACAATCGATCAATTTCTGGCTTCAATCCTCTCCGTCCTTCTAAGGATATGGGATATTGCCTTACCCTCACAGGTACGTGGGGTTCGGAAATTTGGATTTTAATTGGCGGCATTTCCAGTCTACCAATTGTGTCCGGGGAGTACCAAACATTGGGGTTAATTTGTTTTTGATCATCCACAGTCAAAGGATAAGCGGATACTGCCAATTCTTGATTTTTTACTTTAATTTCTAATTGCAGTTCAACAATTAAATCTCGTCCTAACAGATTAAATTCTGCTTCAGGGACGAGCAAGAGTTCACCCACTCCAAATTTATTTTCAGTTTCGAATATCACATTTTTAATTTTTCTCACCTTAAAGGGTTCCCCTTTTGCCCCAATAACTTGTACCTTTTCAGGGGAAACTTCATATCCCTCAGGTATTTGCTTAATAGTTGATTTCTCAGCCCCAGTGTCTACCAAAAAGGTGAACTCTTGTCTCTGGGGACCTATTTTTAATTTTATCAAGGGCTCACGGTGGCTCCGGTCCCCTAAAATATAGAGCCCCTGACTTTCCTATTCCGTTTTCAAATTTTCCTCATCCCTGATCCTTTCTCTGCAATTCTTCTTTATATGTCCCTTCTTTCCACAGTAAAAACAAGATCTCTGTTCCTTTTCTATTACTACTTTTCCTTGTTTCATCCTAGCAGATCTATGTTCACCAGTTCGCCCTTTGCGGTCCTCTCTGACTGCTGCTACCATCATTCTTACTTGTCGCTTGCTGCTCTCTTCTTCCCGCCTTACGTAGACTTTCTGAGCTTCCCTCACTAATTCATCCAACCCTCTATTCTGCCAGTTTTCTAACTTTTCAATCTTCTTTCTGATATCTTCCCATGATTTTGCCACAAACTGAGTTTTGAGGAGCGCTTGTCCTACCGGATCGTTTGGGTTTACTCCAGAGTACAGCTGAAGGGCTTTCCTCAGCCGTTCCAGCCATTCAGTAGGGCTCTCATCTTTCTTTTGCATTTCATTAAATGCTTTATTGATATTCTGCCCACGGGGTACTGCTTCCCTAATTCCCTGAATTATTATAGTTCTCAGGTCCTGCATATGAGTTCTATGAGCCGGATCCTGATTATTCCAATTAGGTCTTTGGAGTGGCCATTTAATATCTGCTCGAGGTCCCTGGGCATGCTGAGCATCCCACAGTCTCATTCCTGCTCGTCTAATCATATCTCTTTCCTCGGTAGTAAATAATTGACCAAGGATAGATTGCAACTCATCCCAAGTATAAAGGTTTGGTCCCAAAAATTGATCTAATCTTTCTGCTACTCCGAATGGGTCCTCAATTAAGTTTCCCATCTCGGTTCTTTTAAAATCTCGTAGGTCGGCAGAATTTAAGGGTACAGAAATATATCCAACCACAGGTTGAGGTCCACCCATAGGTACTTCCCTTAGGGGGTACATCTGAGCTGCCCCTCTTTGACTTCTAGTTACACGTCTAGGAGGGGGTGGGGACCCTTCTGATTCTGGTGGGGGAGTGGGCGCTCTAGGGATCTCTGGAGGGGCTGCGGGAACAGGAGGAGGAATGTAAGGAGGGAGGGTTAGAAGGATATCGTCTAACTCTTCCTTCTTTTTCTGGGGCTTAGTTTTTGTTTCTTTTAATGAATAAAGTCTAGCCCCCGGCTTTTCTAGCCACACTTCCGCATACAGACTCTCCTCTGGGTTAAAAGATTTTTTATTATTAACCCAGAGGTTTAATTGCTGTCTTACCCAATCTTCTTCTGACCCATAGACTGGCCAAATAACATTCTTAGAAATCTTCTTCCCTCCCCATATCTTAGTACAATATTCTATCATTTTTTGCTTATCTTTCCCTAGGGTTCCAGGGAAATACTTCCAATTATCTAAGATATATGCCAGAGGGGTATTCTTAGGTACAGAGGGTACCCCCCCCATGGGAGCCGAAGGCTTGCTGCCCTTCGCCCCCATCTTCTGGAATATCCACAAACACACACTCACTCGCTCCTCTTGTTCCTGGCCCAGTCCCTCTCGGGAGATGGAAAACGCAGTACTTAAGAGTCCACACTTGCTTGGTTCAGTATATCGAACCTCTCATTCGTTATATTCCAGGAAACCCAATCCCGCCCGAACGGCAAACCCGCGAACAATTTCGCCGCGAACAGTTTCGCTCTGCGAATAATTTCGCAATATACTTACGCGTCCTGCGTCTTCGTCCGGACTCCCGTGCACAGAATTTTTATGGGATTTTACCGGTTTTTTTTCCTTTGTTCCTTATCCTAGATTTTAGGTTCGTCGGTAAGGTTTTGAGGAAAGCTGTTGATCACGGGGCCGCGAAAATATCGCGGGGCGCCTTTCCCCGGAGGATCAAAAGCCCACCCTTCCTTATCCGAGTCACGGCACCAGAAATTGTTATAAATTTGCGCCACAACGGAACATAATCCAATTAAGAATTTTATTAATTTACAGCAAGTAGGATATGAACAAAGGTAACAGCGCTGGGGAAACAAATCCAAAAACTTCCAAAAATTCGAAGCTTTGGTTGTTCCGCCGATTTCACTCCAACTGTCTCCTTTTATTCCTATTTCTTCTTTTGTCTCCCTGGAATTTGCAAGTCAATTCCTGTCGTTATCTTGTGTTTGTTTAAGCAGTCCCCTAGTGTGAATGGTTGTTGTGGTCTTTATCTTCAGTCTCCGGTTGAAGTGCTTGTTATCTTATCTAGTATCAGCTGTGTCCGTTTGGTG